GCATGTTATAATGTACACGTTGTGTCCTAATCCCGTTCACAAATTTAGTTATATTTGGATTTGTTGTTGTTAATGGATTATCAGAATTTAGAACGATTGATGCTTGTGTATGATGTAATAAATATTTGTTTAATATTTTTTCTTACTCATATTGGTTAAAAAGTGAGTAAAAAAGCAACATGGGAATATGCAACACTTTAAGTTGTATGTATATTTTCTGAATTTTAGTTTTTAACATGGAATATGTTTTCTCAAGACGAGATGCATAAAATTCGTAATCATGTTAGGTGATGTGTTTCTATACATTGTTTAGTTTTTATTATATTATTATTTTACTTTTGTAGTGTACAGGTTGGGCGGCCAGAGTGTAACTGGGTGTGGTTGCGTTGAGATACTTGAGGCACAGGTTGGAGAATTCACAGCGTTATTTATACACCACACACATACAATTTAAAAACATGCAATACTTAATACATTTATGGATAGATAATTATAAATTTGTTGAAAGGATTCCACTTCTAAGCCGAAACTCGGCTACGGACATAAAATAAACTCGGCTACGCACACACACGTGCGCCAAATAAACTTCCTCTCCGGGGAAGCGTCTGTAGGTCAATTAATACGCTGGGCTGTGTTAAATATATTTCATCTCGTGATGAATATATTTTTTGGGCCTAATGACCGAATGACTAGCGGTATCATGGATGCTTGTAGTGATTCGGAACTCACTTTAAACCGTATTTCCCAGACTACTATGACTGTAAAAGCGTTGGGCGTAGGGCTGACAATTCTACCAAATAAAAAGAAAATATCTCCTGTTCCGAAATCTGCCTGTAAGCAGACGGCCTCCGCCCACCATGGGTCTGTTACGCAAATGAAGAAGATGAGAAACTGTAAACAAAACGTTTCTCAGCCAGATTGCAGGTTACACTCTACTTCTTCTCGGGTGAGAGTCTCGAGGCCGACTGGCCATTTTTCTTGAAATCCAAAGGGACTTGCCAGTGTGTAGGAGGGAGCACGGTTACATTTTAAATTTTTTTTAATATTTGATTTGTATTTAACAATTTTCATTGATATTTTTCTTAACAAAACTCATTAAAATAAATTATTTATATATTTTTATTGAATAAAATGAAATACCTGGTTGTGACTGCAAGTCTGTAAAAAAAAGAAATTTTTTCGTGTTAAATATTATTTATCAATTTCTCTTTCTTTCACCTTTTTTGCGAATATGTGAGAAATTACTGCAAAAGTAGTCATTGTTTAAATTCATTTTCAAAAGCATTTCTCAGTGTAAAATATTCTTACAACAGATTTATATTCGTTAGTTTTGTTTTATCTTGGCGATTTATCGATAAGCTGTAATAATTTTATTCGGGCAAATACTTTTGATTATTTTCTTATTGTTTTCAAATAGCGAAAAATTTCAGTCACTTCAGAAAAAAAAAAAAAAGCGACACTACTGTCGCAGAACTGTCTTTCTCTCTCTCTTCTTCACCAAAAACTTCCTTTTACGACAATCCGTCAAGAAGGGTTCAACTTTCCTCACTTCTTATCAGAGTAGACATTTCTCAGCTCGTGGTCTATAACCCATTACGAAGCAACAAATCATGGCTTAATTCATATATCTGTAATAGTTTCGACCTACGAAGGTCGCACAAAAAATTGCTAATTTCATCAAATTTGAGTGACAGGTTGTTCTCCTTAGTACAAAACACTATTTACATATAATAAAAATATCCACGATACTGCTTATCTGCTTTCAAATTCGAGTTATAGATGGTTATTATGCACTTGTCAATGAATATATATTCCTTTCCTCTGGAAACAGAAATGCTATATCTCTTTCAAAAATGCTACGATATGGTTTCTTTTCACGGCGTAGGGTTGTCAGCCCTACGTTCTAGCCACATTAGACCAGAACCTACTGTTTAAAGTGGATTCCAAACCACTACAAACATCCATGGCACCGCAATGACACGAATCCGAAACTTGTGAGCGTCTAGTGATCCGGCGCTCGGTGCTAAGGGGTTCCAGTCTCTTAGATGCCATGAATCATCATAATGGTTCGGAATTCACTTTAAACTCTACACCCCGGTCTAATATGACTACTACTACTACATCACACCACATCACTGTGCCTAGAGCTGAGTTGCCCCTTTACAGACTGGGAATGATGTGGATGAGAAGTGACGTGAAGAAGCTCTGTGACGCTCTACGGTCATAGGATACTGAGGCCTACGGCTTAAAGGGGATTCCGAACCATTACAAACATCTATGGCACCCCCGGGATTCTAACTCGAAACCTGTGGTACAGAGTGTCAGAGGTCTAGTATGACTGTACAGCGTTGGTCGTAGGGCTGATAAACCTACCCCGTAATAAAATAAACCATCTCTTGTCTCGAAATCAGATAAAACCATCTCTTGTCTCGAAATCAGATAATAGACAGATGGCTTTCTCCCACCATGGGGCTGTTGCGCCAAAGAGGGGCCTGAATGGACGTGTGTTTGGCGCTCGGTGCTACAAGTTTCGGCTTAGAGACCCGGCGGTACCATGGTTCTTTGTAGTGGTTCATAATACACTTTAAGCCGTAGGTCCCGATCTGATATGATTGTAAGAGCGTCACAGAGCCCAATCAGACTTCTCATCCACATCATTCCCAAACTGTAAAGAGGCAACTCAGCTCTAGACACAGTGATGTGATGTGATGTAGTAGCAGTCTGGTATCTCACCCACATCATTCCCAAACGGTGTAGGGGCAACTCAGCTCTAAGCACAATAGTAGTTGCAGTTGATGCCTGCCCTCCAAACTAAAAAAGTTATCTTATGACCACTTTATATATAAGATCCTTAAAGCATTAAAATTTTGCTTATCGGGCTCCGACTCGACTAGAAATGTGCACTCTCTTGACTTTAAGGTAGGTCATTTCGCAAATGACACTTGTAAAAAAAAAGATATTTCACTTCAGAACTGGAAGACCTGCAAAGATAACGTTAATTACAGGACGAATAGGGAGGATGACCTAGCAAGGAGCAGATAAAATGCGGCGAATTTCACTCTTTATAACACAAAATGGAAGAAAGTTGTAAAAAAAAGGGGAAACAAATTATATATCACGTTCAACAACACGCTATGGAGTAGGTGATATTTCATATGTAATTTCTTTTTTATGTGTTGAATAAATTATCTAAAAAAATGCATATAAAAATGCTTAAAAATCACAAAGTTATATTGAACAGATTAAAAATGTTTACTATATCTTCTAAAATATCCTGTTGTTCTTCTTCATTTGCGCAACAGCCCTGTGGTGTTCTGAGCCTGCCTGCCTACTGGCAGATTTCGAGACATGGGATGTTTTCTTTTTTAAGGGGTAGGGTTGTTAGACCTATTCCCAACGCTCTACGGTCATAGGATACCGGGACCTATGGCTTAAAGTGGATTCTGAACCACTACAAACATCCATGGCATCGCCGGGACTCGAACCTGAAAACCTGTGGCACCGAGAGCACTAGCCACTCGGCCATCAGGCCCCAGGGTCTGATATGACTGTAAAGTGTTGAGCGTAGGGCTGAAAACACTACCAAGTAAAAAGAAACAACATCTCACCATTCATACCCCTACCAGCAGGCCTCGGCCGAACATGGGGCCGTGGTAAGTTAAATAACTTTCCCACCATGGGTAAGTTATTTGGTTGGTATTACTTTAAATTAATACTTTAAAACGAAATGATTCTTTGAGATAAGAACTATTTTTTTGAAGTGATAAAAACAGTTATGAACGAATTACTTTGAATCGAGTGCAATTTGAATGGATATTACACGTTCATCCATCTCAGGACATATCCGTTCAAAATTTTAAGAATTCACGTCAATCTTTGAATCCATTCACCTCTTCAATAACAGATTTCAGGAACAAGGTATGGTTAGTAGATCAAAATCTATCTCTTTCTATATCACAGGTAATATGTCACAAAGGCAGCTTTCGATTTAATAGGTTTCCGAAACAATAGTATTCGAAATAAGAGTTACAAACGATTTCTCCAACCTTATTTCCTGTTGCCATCCCAGTGAACAAAAAAGAGAGGTTATTGAAGCCGGAACAGGTATTGCTCTCTGTGACTGAGGCATTGTTGTCGGGGAAATTATTATTTTGTTCGATACACCCACTACATCCGCTAACATGCGATTGCTTTACTATTAGAGGTCGTAATACTTTGAAAGGAAAGGTTCTTTACTTTTTATTACCAACATTGATATGGTATTAGAAACAGCCCTTTTTCAATTCCTTCTATTAGCTCACACTCTCCCTACATATATCTTGTTCAAATTTTCAATCGCTCATAAAACACTTTGTATTCATCCAATCAAGTTCAAATACATTTTTTTGAACTTGTAGTGGATGACACTGGATGTTAATACAGTTTTTTCAAATATTGATTAATTCATTAAATTTAATTAATTAATTTTAGTTTTTTTTAGATTTACGTCGCATATATCTACCAATAGATGGCGCCAGATCAACTGCAGTATAGGGGGGAAAAAGTAGGAATTGACTTAAATTTTTTTTTTTATAATACTTGTTCTCTGTATACTATATCACTGCTGTTGAATTCCTGAACTACTTGATGATATATGTGTCGTAGAAACCAACCAGAAAATAGTACACAAAAGAAGGTATTAAAAGATATAAAACTATGATGTATGGTTTTTTTGTTTTTTTTTAACTAAAAAAAATATGCTTATTGAAGCAATAATGTAGTTTCTTATCCCTCTTGGTAAATAGCAACAACTAGACCAAGAACCCGTTTGATCTCATAGAAGGAGGGAAGAGGGAAGCAACTTCTATTGTGATGCAGCACTCGTAGGTAGAGGCACTCGTTGGCTCCGTGTAGCTGACTGTTTACTGGGTTGGTTTCTCAGCCGTACGCCCAACGCTCTACAGTCATATTAGACTGGTAACTACGGTTAAAAGTGGATTCCGAACCACTGCAAACATCCATGGCATCATCGGGACTCAAACCCGAAACCTGTGGTACCGAGCGCTAGCCACTCGGCCATGAAGCCCTCGTTAGTCGGACTACCTGATGGGAGTTTTCCGGGTTGTCTCCCATATGACACGCAAATGTGGGGTAGTTCCCCTTAAAAAGCCCTCCAGAAAAGCACTGCCCTCCTTCTTTAGCGTCACGGAGCTAAGTTAGACTTCTACCTGCAAGGGCTCCACCCCCGCTCCTTTCTCCCCCCCCCCCTTTTCTCCTTCCACAAGATCACACGTGTTCTTGGTCTAGATGTCTCACTTGGCAAATTCTGTCTTCCAAGTTGGACCAAGTGAAATTAGAAACAACAACAAACGATCCTGAATATTCAAATCGCAACACATTGATAGTTTCTTATACTATACAACAACTGATTTTAGACGACCTTCTTTAACTTCAATCCGTTAATGAATTGAAATCACAATTACTTAAATTTACTGATAATTAGTGATTTTTTAAACTGTATTTCATCGCCAAAAGTTGAAATAAGCTGACATAAAGGCACTGTTGTTTAGATAGATCCACGTCGTATGTCGTAGTAAATCATCACACGAAAAGGTTCATGAGATAATTCCGTTTTTTGATTGACGTAAAATTTTCAAGTTGCTGTAAACATCAAAAATGGCGTTCCTGCGACAAAACGTTCTGAGTAAGTAAAGGTCAAAAGTGTCAAACTTTACGACGGATTTGTTAGATGGTGGTCACGCAAGACTAGCGTTAAAAAAAGGCATTTGTTATGACTTAAAAAAAAAATCTTCAACTTGATGCTAACCAATCCAAACAAAAACCAACTTGCAGAAATTGGTTTCTACGACAAAAAATCAATATCTTTTATGTTTATAGATTTTTAATAATTAATTCTTTATCAACCAGAGGGGAATTATTAATATTCGGACATTTACAATAACTGAAGTTGGTATTCATGAAAACGTTCTTCTATTATGCTATTTTTTAAAATTTTCTATAGGTTGATTAGGAATTTTTTATAGGGAGTTGAATAATTTTCTGTTGTAGTGTGCAGATAGTAACTGGGTGTGGTTGTGTTGAGATACTTGAGGCAATAATATACGCACGCACAAATACCACGCACATATAATATTTAACACATTTAAATATAAATTCGTGGAAGGATTTCATTCTAAACCGAAAACCCGAAAATTGGCTATGCGCAGGGTGCGCCAAATAAACTTCCTCTCGCGGGGAGAGTCTGCAGACCAACTAATGCGCCAAGATGCGCTAAATATATTTCTTTCGGAATGATAGACTAAATGTTTCTCGGCGGTGTCAAAGTTGCGCTATACTTGATCTCGCGTGAGAGTCTCGAGACCGATTGACCACTTCTCCTAAACCCTAAAGGGGGGAAGCTCTTTCCGGGATGTAGGAGGAAGCATAGTTAATAATAAAAGGGAAATCAGAATTATTCATCAAAGATTCAACACGGACACGCTCAAGATACTTTAAATATATTTCCTCTCGGGAAGAGAGACTATAAACTAAACGTTTCTCAGCAGGAGTGCAAGTTTCACTGAATTGCCTCTCGAGTGAG